ATTATTTTGAATCCTTATACTCCAATAAATTAGAAGATAGTGAAGGCATAGATAAATTTCTTAAGTCATATGATCTGCCCAGATTGAGTCAGGAGGATATAGACAACCTAAACAGACCAATACCAATTGAGGAAATAGAAGAAACCATCAAAAGACTACCAACTAAGAAAAGCCCAGGACCGGATGGGTATACAGCAGAGTTTTACAAAACCTTTAAAGAGGAACTAATACCAATACTTTTCAAGCTACTTCGGGAAATAGAAAAAGAGGGAGAACTTCCAAATTCATTCTACGAGGCCAACATCACCCTGATACCTAAACCAGACAAAGACACTTCAAAGAAAGAAAACTACAGACCAATATCTCTAATGAACCTAGATGCAAAAATCCTCAATAAAATTCTGGCCACTCGGATACAAAAACTTATCAAAAAAATTGTGCACCATGATCAAGTAGGATTCATCCCTGGGATGCAAGGCTGGTTCAATATACGGAAATCAATAAATGTTATTCACCACATCAATAGACTTAAAAATAAGAATCATATGATCATCTCGATAGATGCGGAAAAAGCATTCGACAAAGTACAGCATCCCTTTATGTTCAAAACTCTAGAAAAACTAGGGATAACAGGAACATACCTCAATATTGTAAAAGCAATCTATGCTAAGCCTCAGGCTAGCATCATTCTGAATGGAGAAAAATTGAAGGCATTCCCTCTAAAATCTGGAACAAGACAGGGATGCCCTCTCTCACCACTTCTGTTCAACATAGTTCTCGAAACACTGGCCAGAGCAATTAGACAGACGAAAGAAATTAAAGGCATCAAAATAGGAAAAGAAGAACTTAAATTATCACTATTTGCAGATGACATGATTCTATACCTAGCAGACCCAAAAGGGTCTACAAAGAAACTATTAGAGCTAATAAATGAATTCAGCAAAGTGGCAGGATATAAAATCAACACGCATAAATCAAAGGCATTCCTGTATATCAGCGACAAATCCTCTGAAATGGAAATGAGGACAACCACTCCATTCACAATATCTTCAAAAAAAATAAAATACTTGGGAATCAACCTAACAAAAGAGGTGAAAGACTTATACAATGAAAACTACAGAACCCTAAAGAGAGAAATAGAATAAGATCTTAGAAGATGGAAAAATATACCCTGTTCATGGATAGGCAGAACTAACATCATCAAAATGGCGATATTACCAAAAGTTCTCTATAGGTTTAATGCAATGCCAATCAAAATCCCAACAGCATTTCTTGTAGAAATAGAGAAAGCAATCATGCAATTCATATGGAAAAATAAAAGACCCAGAATAGCAAAAACAATGCTAAGCAGGAAGTGTGAATCAGGCGGTATAGCGATACCAGACTTCCAACTATACTACAGAGCAATAGTAACAAAAACAGCATGGTACTGGTACCAAAACAGGCGGGTGGACCAATGGTACAGAATAGAGGACACAGAAACCAATCCACAAAACTACAACTATCTTATATTTGATAAAGGGGCTAAAAGCATGCAATGGAGGAAGGATAGCATCTTCAACAAATGGTGCTGGGAAAACTGGAAATCCATATGCAACAAAATGAAACTGAATCCCTTTCTCTCGCCATGCACAAAAGTGAATTCAAAATGGATCAAGGAGCTTGATATCAAATCAGAGACACGCCGTCTGATAGAAGAAAAAGTTGGCTACGATCTACATACTGTGGGGTCGGGCTCCAAATTCCTCAATAGGACACCCATAGCACAAAAGTTAATAACTAGAATCAACAAATGGGACTTACTCAAACTAAAAAGTTTTTTCTCAGCAAAAGATACAATAAGAGAGGTAAATAGAGAGCCTACATCCTGGGAACAAATCTTTACTCCTCACACTTCAGATAGAGCCCTAATATCCAGAGTATACAAAGAACTCAAAAAATTAGACAATAAGAGAACAAACAACCCAATCAACAAATGGGCCAAGGACCTGAACAGACACTTCTCAGAGGAGGACATACAATCAATCAACAAGTACATGAAAAAATGCTCACCATCTCTAGCAGTCAGAGAAATGCAAATCAAAACCACCCTAAGATTACCATCTCACTCCAGTTAGATTGGCAGCCATTATGAAGTCAAACAACAACAAGTGCTGGCGAGGATGTGGGGACAAGGGTACACTTGTACATTGCTGGTGGGACTGCAAATTGGTGCAGCCAATTTGGAAAGCAGTATGGAGATTTCTTGGAAAGCTGGGAATGGAGCCACCATTTGACCCAGCTATTCCCCTTCTCGGTCTATTCCCTAAAGACCTAAAAAGAGCATGCTACAGGGACACTGGTACATCGATGTTCATAGCAGCACAATTCACAATAGCTAGACTGTGGAACCAACCTAGATGCCCTTCAATGGATGAATGGATAAAAAAAATGTGGCATTTATACACAATGGAGTATTACTCTGCATTAAAAAATGACAAAATCATAGAATTTGCAGGGAAATGGATGGCATTAGAGCAGATTATGCTAAGTGAAGCTAGCCAATCCCTAAAAAACAAATGCCAAATGTCTTCTTTGATATAAGGAGAGTAACTAAGAACAGAGTAGGGTCGAAGAGCATGAGAAGAAGATTAACATTAAACTGGGATGAGAGGTGGGAGGGAAAGGGAGAGAGAAGGGAAAATGCATGGAAATGGAAGGAGACCCTCAGAGTTATACAAAAGTACATACAAGAGGAAGTGAGGGGAAGGGGAAAAATAATATAAGGGGGACAAACGAATGTCAGTAGAGGGAGCAGAGAGAGAAGAGGGGAGGGGAGGGGAGGGGAGGGGAGGGGGGATAGTAGAGGATAGGAAAGGCAGCAGAATACAACAGACACTAGTATGGCAATATGTAAAGCAATGGATGTGTAACTGATGTGATTCTGCAATCTGTATATGGGGTAAAAATGGGAGCTCATAACCCACTTGAATAAAATTGTGAAATATGATATATCAAGAACTATGTAATGTTTTGAACAGCCAACAATAAAAAATTAAAAAAAAAAAAGAAAAAGGGGTGTTTGTGTTTTGGCTGTGCATGATAGCAATCATTACAGGAATGTGCTTTGTCCTAAAAGAAGTATAGTTATTCAAAGACTGTTTGATTATTATCCAGGCTTTAATTTATACCGCTTCTCTCATTGTGACCCATTACCAGCTGTCTGCAAACAAAAAGAAATGGTGGTAGAATAGAGGAAAAATAAAATTAATCAAGTTGAACATAAAAAAAAGCTCACCTTGGATTAGGCTAAATGTTTGATATTATCTCCTGCGAAAATTTTCTCTAGGAAGGGAAATAAGATTATTAATGAATTTCTCTACTGTTATTGAAATCACTGTATTTGACAGAGAACTCTAGGCACACTATTATAGTGAGATGTGCTGGGTGTTCTCATAGTCCTACTTTACCTGCCCATGACCCCATAACAGGTTTTGGTCATGACCAGTTCCCTCTTTAAGAGTAGGAATCCAGTGCTTTCCAAGGTTGCATTTTCTCAACAAAAATAGTATTAAAAAAATCTCTTTCTCTCTCAATTTGTTTCTGGCCAGAAACTGAATCTTGCTTGAAAAATTATGTTAGATTTTGTCATAAAGAAAAATTTTGTTTTGTGAAAGATACTGTTTGTTAAAATCATGGAATGACAAGATGTAGTATGGGAGAAAATATTTGCAAATCACATATTAACAGAAGACATATCTAGATCATATAATGAACTTTTAAAATAATGAAATATTATGTTAGAATATTAAAATAATATGAAAATAGCCCAGTTAAAAATGAGGGGGACTGAGGATGCTTAGTGGTAGAGTGCTTGCATGAGGCCCTGGGTTCAATCCCCAGCACAAAAAAAGAAAAGATTTGAGTAGGTACAGCATCAGAGGAGATATTTAGATAACTAATAAGTACGTGAGAAGATGCTCAATGTCATTAGGGAAATTAAAATTAAAACCAAATGTGATACCATTACATACCTATTTAAATGTTTGAAAAACCCCAAACAAATAAGCAATGATGCCAAATGTTGATGAGGATGTGGAACAATGGAAAATTTCATACATTCTTGTTTGGAGTGTATATTGATACCACCACTTAGGAAAACTCTTGTCAGTTTCTTAAAATATTCAGTATATACTTATCATTTGACCCAGTCATTCTACTCCTCCCTGTTTACCCCAGAGAATTGATAGTGTATGTTCAGACAGGGACTTGTACATAAATACAGCAGCTTCATTTGTCAAAACCTAAACTGGAAACAAACGTCCATCAATTGGTGAACAGGGAAACCAGTTATGGTACAGCAACACAGTGGAACACTGTTCATCAATGAAAAGGATTGAATTATTTCTACATGCAACCCACAACAAGAGTGAAATCTCAGAGTACTTTATGCAGGGGGAAATAAGCCAGGTAATAAAGAGTATACATTGTATGATTTAAGTCACATAAAATTTCAGAAAATACAAATTGCTTTATAATGACAGAAAGCTGGTTATTGATTACTTGAAGATGGATGTATACTTTCAATATGTGTAGATTATTGTATGGAAATTGTATCTCAGTAAAACTCAAAGACAGAAAAAGCTGGCTCTGGGGCATTCTTCCTGAGTATGCCTCACTTCTGCAAAGTATGAAAACTGAAGTTATAGCTAAAGTAATCTAAAGTGATAATTACAGTTTTGGGATACAGTGATCCATGTCTATTTTTTTTTTTTGTGGTCCCGGGGATCAAACCCAAGGCCTTATCCCCAGCCCTATTCATATCTATTTTATTTTATTTAATTTATATATTTTTTAGTTTTCGGTGGGCACATCTTTATTTTCTTTTTATGTGGTGCTGACGATTGAACCCAGTGCCCCGCGCATGCCAGGCGAGCGTGTTACCGCTTGAGCCACATCCCCAGCCCATATCTATTTTAAATACCAATGTTTATCAGTTTAAACTTTTAATTTGTTTTTAGGCAACTACTCTGAGAGTAAGGAAATTGGAAGAAAATATTGAAGCAGAAAGAGCGGCACATTTGGAATCAAAATTTAATTCTGAAATTATTCAGGTAAAATATAAACACATTTTTTTCTTAAATTCTGTTATAACAGCGAGGAAAACAACATTTTTTTGGAGAACTTTATGTCCATTTAGGATGGGTAATATATTGTTATGATGTTCATTGTGTTAGCTTTCTGTTACTGTGACAAATATCTAAGAATAACAACTTAGGGAAGGATAGTTTTATTTTGGCTCATGAGATGTCAGTCTATGCTTGGCTTGCAGCATTGCTTTGGACCTGAGGTAAGACAGAACATTATGGCAAAAAGGTGTGGAGAAAGAAATCTGCAAAGCTCACAGCATTTAGGAACTAGAGAGCAAAAGGAAAAGGGACCAGGAAAAAGAAATACCCTTTCTGCCAGGCATGGTGGCCCATGCCTGAAATACTGGTGGCTTGGGAGGCTGAGGCAAGTGCAGGGCTTAGTGTTAACAATTTACTGAGGCTGTGTCTTAAAATAAAAAAAATTGGGGGTGGGGAGGAATATAGCTCAGGAGTAAAGTACTATCCCCAGTATCTCTTACTGTTTCACGCATTCCCCAGTCACATATTTCCTCCAACCATGCCCCATCAGCCTGGTTTCCACCACCCCTAGTAATCCATTTAGCCATAATTGTATTATCCACTGATGAGATCGGAGTGTTCGTGATCCAGTTACTTACCCAAAGCCTTATCTCTAAACATTGCTGCGTTGAGGACCAAGCCTTTAACACATGAGTCTTTGGGGGATATTCCAGATCTAAAACATAACTTTCATTATTGTATTTAAGGTAAGGAAACAAGTAAGGATATATTATATTAGTCGAGTCGACACACTACAGCCTTCACTAGATCTTACGAGATTTGTCTCATGTATGGCTATTTTTGTGCTACAGTGGCAGAGTGGAGTTGTGACAGAGACCCAATAGTCTGTGCATTAGTCAGTTTTTCACCAATATACTTGAATCCCTGAGGCAATTAATTTAAAAGAAAAAAAGTTTATTTTGGCTTATAGTTCTGGAGGTTCCAATCTGTGATCTAGTAGTCCTATTTCTTTGAGCCTTTGGTGAGGCAAAACATCACAGTTGGGGCATATAGTGGAGAAAACTTCAAGAGCCAGGAAGCATAGCAAGAGAGAGGATTGGGCAGAGTCCCACAGTCCCCTTTGAGGACACACTCCCAATGACATAAGGACCTCTACTAAGGCCCCCACTTCTTTTTTTTTTTTTTTTCCAGGGCTGAGGACTGAACCCAGGGCCTTGTGCATGCTAGGCAAGTGCTCTGCTACTGAGCTAAATCCCCAACACCACTTCTTAAGGTCCATGGCACCTCCCAGTAGTGTCATCCTGGGGATCAAACCTTTAACACTTGATCCTTTGTGGGACATTCAGCATTGAAACTATAGCAGCCTGTAGAGCATAAAATATTTACCATCTGGCCCTTTGCAGAAAAATTTGCTGTTCACTGTTCTTTTTGTCAGCAGCCATGGGATGAATTTGCTTTTGAAAACATTTTAAAAAATATGCATCTTACTTATTGAGTGCTTAGCTTGTGCAATCACCTATCACTGTATTAAGAGCTGAAGGTATAAAAGTAAATTAATTCATTTTGGAGCTAACACTCCATTACTAGTGATACTGCATACCTACATATATGCATAGATATATAGAGATAGAGTCAGAAATATAACATACTTCAATACTATGGGAGCATAATAAAGGCAGGGATAAAATTTAGGAGGGGAATTAAATGGAGGTATCCATAGGAAAGCATAATCTGGTAACTTACTAATGGATAAAATAGAGTGAAGATAGGTGGCTGGGATGCCTGAGTTCAGGCCATGCCATGGAAATGGAAAGGAGCAGTGTGGTAGTCAGAATAATGGCTCTTCAGAGATGTCCATATCTGTCCTAATCCTCAGAACCTGTGATTACCTGTTCATATAGGGCAAAAGAGACTTTGCAGATATGATTATCTTGATGATCTTAAGATGTCTTCATTTATCTAGTTGGGCCTGGTATAATCACAGGGGTCCTTATAAAGGGAGGCATGAGGATCAGGGTCAGATACAGAGCTGTGACAACAAAAGCAGAAGCCAGAGTGATGCTGCCATGAGCCCAGGAAGGTGAGTGAACTCCGGAAGCTGAAGAGTACCCCAGAGTCCTCAGAAGGAACGCAGCCTTGTTGATTCTGAAACCCCAGGAGTCCCATTTCAGACTTCTGACCTCCCAAACTGCAAGATAATAAACTTATGTTGTTTTAAGCCACTGTTTTGTGTTCACTTGTAATACTAGCAGCAAGAGGAAACAAATTTCCAAAAACTGAAAATACACTGTAGATTCTACAATTATAGATAACTTAGTTTGCAGTGTGGAGGGAGAGAAAGCAATAGAAGACAACACCGAGGTTTGTGCTGTGTGTAAAAATGAGCATTTGCAGGTGACCGTCAGGCTTGGAATTCTCAAGAGAGAAGATGATAAGTTTTGGACATGTTGAATTTGAAGTGCAGTTTAGAGGTTCAGCGTTCTTTAGTGTATTTGAGAAAATGGTCATGCTAAGTACTTAAACAATACAAGTTATACTCTTGTCAGTTAAGTGGACAATTCCTTTTCCTCTATTCTCTCAAGCATCTGCCTGTAGTTTAATTTGGATCAGCCAGTTTCTGAGGTGTCAGGAGAGTTAAATTACTCAGGAGGATATTTGTTCGGTCTGCTACCTTTTCTAATTTAATATTTTGTAGACAATTATGACTTTTAAATGTTTTTTTGGCACTTTGATTATGGTTAAAATTTAATAATAAGGTATTTATAATTCATGCTTCTGTTGAAAAGAATTTTTGATGAAGATTATTACATATATTTTTTAAAATCTAAAAAATATATTTTTATTGTATATATTTTTAAGATGGGGCTGGGGATGTGGCTCAAGCGGTAGCGCTCTCGCCTGGCATGTGTGCGGCCCGGGTTCGATCCTCAGCACCACATACAAACAAAGATGTTGTGTCCACCGAAAACTAAAAAAAATAAATATTAAAAATAAAAAAAAAATATTTTTAAGATGTTCTTTATGTTATTATATAATTGGTGAGTAATTATGTTTGAATATTGCTTTGTGAATGGATGTAATAGATTATACAGAAATAAAATACCATGTATTTATTTCTAGAAGAAAAAGTTATTTAAACCTCTTTGGCTTTAGCAGGTCTGAAAAATCCTGCTGCTTTATTTGTGCTCCTTAATTTCTCATCAAGTTGGATGTTAGGATTGTCCAAATCAAGTGAATGAAGAGTAACTATAAACACATTAAAACTAATTTAGATTAAAAAATTGTCTTGGGACTAGGTGTGCAGCTCTGTGGCAGAGTGTTTGCCTAGCATGTGTGAAGCCTTGGGTTCGATCCTATGACTGCCGAAAACAAACAAACAAACTCTTGTTTGTCTCCTCACCCACGCTCCTATTTTTCTTTTTTTGTTTTTGGTATCAGGGATTGAAACCAGGGGTACTTAACCACTGAGCTATATCCCCAACCCAGAACCCCTTTTTTAAAAAATTCCTTTTTGTAGTGTAGATGGACAGGATGCCTTTATTTTATTTATTTTTATGCTGTGCTAAGGATTGAACCCAGTGCCTCACATGTAGTAGGCAAGTGCTGTGCCACTGGGCTATAGTCCCAGCCTCCCAACCCTTTTTAATGTTTTATTTAGAGACAGAGTCTTGTCAGGTTGCTTAGGGCCTTGCTAAGTTGCTGAGGCTGGCTTTGAACTCGCAATCCTCCTGCCTCAGCCTCCCTAGTCGCTGGAATTATAGGTGTGCTCCACCATGCTTGGCTCCAACCTCCTATCTTGACTTTCTTTATTCATGAATATTACCCCAAATTAATAAATGCGATATATGTCCTGAAGTTGCAGTGACCATCTACTACTTTTAAAGTCTTGAGTTCCTTGATTTAATTTAAATTTTTAAAATATTTAGATTTCCTCTCTAAATTTTAATATAATTTTTCTTGTTTAAATAGCTTTTAATATAAGACGCAACTACATTTGTGAGGATTTTATATTAGAGTTTTTTTAAACTTGTATCTTTAATAAAAGGCCCATTTTATTTATAAAATCTCAGACCCATGTATTTGATTGTGTCTGTTTGTTAAAGCAAGATTTATTACCTTTTTAAAAGAAGGATAGGCTTGGGCCTAGGGCTTGTAGCTCAGTGGCAGAGTGCTTGCCTAGCATGTGTGAGGCACGGGGTTTGATCCTTTGCACCACATAAAAATAAACAAAGTGCTGTCCATCTACAACCACAAAAAACAACTACAAAAAAAGAAAAAAAAGATAGGTTCACCCAAAATGGCATCAATAATTCAAAATTAGGGTTTCTTTGTAGTTATATCACAGGGAAAAATGTAGTTTATCACTATAAAACTGCATTTTTTTAGCCGCATGGTTTAAAATTAATATTGTCATCTAACATGGTGCTGTGACAGAAAAAAGCAAAGGTTATATTTGAACCATAAATTTATAAATATTGACAGATATATTCAGTGAGGTTCATTTGGTAACATTCAATTTCAGATTAGTTTAAATGCAAATGAGACTATTAAGTAGCTGTAATCTTACAAAACTGTTGTCAAATATGTATTTTAAATCTTCCATTATTCAATTTGTATGCTGTGGCATAAAAATGATAATATAGAGTGAAAAGTAGAAGCATCAACTCAGAATTGTGAATTTGAAGTCTACTTTCTTTTTGTTAGATTGGTTTACCATTTGAATATTCTTATTTTCTGAAAGAAGATAATGCTGATAAGAAATGCTGACAGAAGAAAATATTTCCTAAATTTACTGTTTGACTTGTAAACATTAGATTTAGATAAAAACAACAAAGAACAAGAGAGTTTAAAAGTCAAAAATTGAAAATTACTGAGTTTTATTTACATGTCTATTTTACTTCCTTACTTCAAGTGTAAGAATAAATGCTTCAGCTATTTCAGAATATTTTTATACAACTAGAAATGATTCTGGCAGTTATAATTCATTTAGATTAATTCATGAAACCTCTTAATATTGATGTACATTTCATTTCTTGCTGGGTTTATCTTTCCTCACTTGAGTTGTTGCCAGCCTTTTTGAGGATGACAACACAGTTTTTCCTTGATTTCATGGCCCTTTGCACATGACTCTGTTATAGGAAGTGCTTATAATAAGCACTTATAATACATCATCTGTCCTCTCCTAAAGACTCTGAGCTCTGAAACGACTAAGACTATCTTTCCATGATTATTATATATCTGTTGAGCATTAGCACATTGCCTAGCACATATTAAATGCTCAATAGCTATTTGCTAAATATTGTCTCAGTAGATCCTTGTAGAAACCCTGTAAAGTAGACGTTCTAGATATTTTTCTTTTTCACAGTTTCATTTCTAGAACTCAGGTGTTTGGAGTTTTAGTAATAGGCCCAAGATCACGTAAGTTAATTTGTTGAGCTTAAGTTGAAACCTGAGTTTTATGAACAAAGCCATTTTCTATCTAGTGTGAAACATTTTTTCCTACCTCTTCCTTTTTAAACTTTAGCAAAGTATATTATTTTTAAATTAGTTTTCTGCAAAGGTAAAATATTTATGTAGTTAAAAAATCAAAACAAGATTTAAAGAGTGAAAATTCTTGCTTTTACTCCTATCTCTCCTCCTTCTGCCCTTGCCTGCTTATTCTTGTTATTTTCCTTGTTACCACAATTTTCGTGTACTTTATATACTGATATGGACTTAGTTATTTTCAGTATATTTTAATATTTAATAGTGTATTGTTCTACAACACTACACAGAGAACTTTTTTTCTAAAGTTGCTTGGAGGTCTTTTTATACCTACATATGATTCTTTTGTGAGAATGAACTTTTAAAATTCATTCTAGTGTTGGTAGACACAGGGAATCTATTTTTAAAAATGTTTTATTATGTAGAATTTGAAGTATAGGCAAAAATAGAGAGGATATTAAAATGAACCCCCCCATCTACCCATCTCCCTATTGTTAGAGTCTGTAAACAAGTCAAAAATAACACCTGGCATTTTGCCAGGGGAATGTTAGAGTTCGTAAACAAGTCTGAATGGTGCCTGGCAAAATGCCAGAGGGAGTGGTTTGAGAAGTAACAAAAGCGAGCTATTAAGTGTGGAGATTCCTTATTGGTTGACTGATGTATCTAGTTTATGCTAATAAGATAAGCTGTGTGGAATGTATAAATACTGCTCCTGTCCTGCAATAAACGGCTCCCACTCCTGCTGTATCAACGTACACAAGTTATTCGTCACCCCCCGGTTATTTTGCCCAGCCAGCCGGGCTGTGGCACCCTATTTTAACACCTACTTCAGGCCAATTGTGTTTTATCTATTACCTCACAAACTTTTCCACCTCCAGATTATATTGAAGCAAATCCAGGATATCAAATATCTACAACCATAAATATTTCAAATTGTGTTGTTTGATAATAAAATTTCATTCTTCTATAGTAAGAAATCTCCAGGAATAAACAGATCTGTTCAAAGTTGCTTAAGCTTATAAAGATATTCATTTAATAATGTTTCTCATAAGTGAGGAAGAATATTCCTTTTACATTAAAAACCCACTTAATTCATTATATTTCATAAAAGAAATATCTGAATGGATTACAAGGTTCTCAAAATCAAGTATTTTTATAGAACAAGTTATGTGTATTGGCCTATACTTTTTCAAAGCACAAACCTTCAGTCTTCCACTCTTCTTTTCTTTCACTAAATGTGTTAAGAAAAACACATATTTATTCCTTTTTTCAAACCAAAGCAAAAAGAAAGAAGTGTCTGGATGAATGATAATCTGCTGTTGATAAAGTATTCTACTCAATTTAATATTGAATATCCTTGAGAAGCTGAGGCCAGCTAGGGTAGCTTAGTGCTGTCTCTAAATGAAACAAAAAGGGATAGGGATGTAGCTCAGTGGTAGCATACACTGGGTTCAATCCCCACAACTGCAAAAACAACCACCACAACAAAAAAGATTTCTCAGCTTGTTTTAATTACTTCTTTGTCATTTGGTAGTTACGGATTCGAGACCTTGAAGGAGCTTTACAGGTAGAAAAGGCCAGTCAAGCAGAAGCTGTTGCTGATTTGGAAATGATCAAGAATGAATTCAAAGAAGTTGAAAGTGCATATGAGCGAGAAAAGCTTAACGCCCAAGAGAGCTTTGCAAAGCTAAATTTGTAAGTATTTTACTGTAAAATTCTCTAAATTAATATGAAGGTTTTGTAAAAGCTATTTAAGTGCTGGGTGTGGTTGCACACACCTGTAATCCCCATAATTAGGGAGGTTAAGGCAGGAGTATTGCAAATTAGAGGCTGACTTGGACAATTTAGCAAGACCCTGTCTCACAATGAAAATAAAAAAATCAAAAGGGGTGGAAGTGTAGTTCAGTGGTAGAGTGCCCAGAGCCCTGGACTCAATCCTCAGTGCTGCAGAAAACAACCAGTTGTTTAAATGTGACTATGTAGCTGGGTGCAGTGTGTGTGTGCCTGAAACCTATCAACTCAGGAGGCTGAGACAGGAGGATTGCAAGTTTGAGGCCAGCCTCAACAACTTAGTGAGGACCTGTGCAGTTTAGCAAGAACTGACCTCAAAATAAGAAGGGCTGGGATGTGTATTAGTGGTTAATTGTCCCTGAGTTCAATCCCCAGTATCCACCCCACCCCCCCAAAAAAGTGAATATGTAATATTTTAGATCTACCTGCCATTAATGTCAGTAGTATACTAGGGATAAAACTTTTTGAAATATAAATATACTAACCAGTATAGGTAATATGGAAATGCTCTTTTGGATTTTGTAGTCACAGAAATGCATTTTTATGCCAGAAAATTAATATATTAATGTTTTGCATTATATTTATTAATATAATGCAGTATTTAAAAAATTTGATTTCTAGGTTACATATGGAAATAATGTTTGAGATTTTTTTCAAGTGCAGAAATAATAAAAGTAACACTACTATGTGGCTAATGTGCATTGTGGCTCACTATCTACATAGCATTGCATAGATTAATTAACACTGTAGGAGGAAACTACTTTTTTTCTAATTCCTGTTTTACAGATGTGAAAATTGAGGCTTCATGCAGGTAAAGACACATCTAATAAGGGCCATTGTCAAAATCTTTCTGACTCTTCCTGATATTAACCTTTTTCAATTTAGAAACCTTTATCTCAAAACTCTTTGAAATGCTTTAAAGAAGTTTGTAATTATCTAACATGTTTCCAAAAATCAGTCAATAATAGACATTTGGAACCATTTCCCCTGAGAGGGTAGAATTCATACTGCCTTTGGTATATGACAGAGTAATAGGTTGGAACATTATTGGAATTATATATTATTAGAGTTATATATTTATTTTTAAACAGTTTCTATTTATGACAAGTAGGTATAGTGGTTATCTGTTTACAGTAGCAATATAAAAAGATTATTTTAAAATACTTTAAGAAGTGAGTTAAGGAAAAAATTAGAATAGTAATTATTATGGGTGCAGTAAAATTCATAGAGATAGATGGCATTTGAAAGACTGAAGTTTGAAAAAATTTAAAAACTATTTTTAAATTGTGATTGTCTTTTATTAGTAATGCTTATGACTTCTTTTGTTTGGTTTAGTTATGGTGCTGGAAATTGAATCCAGGGTCTTTTGTGTATGCTAAGCACATGTTCTACCACTAAATGACACCCCTAAACCCTATAATGCTTATAAAATTTTAAGACAGGAATTCTTTTCTTTTTCATTGGCTCATATTAATTATATATAACATTATGATTCATTTTGGTACAATAATAAATGCATGGAGTACAATTTGCTCTAATTTAGTCCCCAGTACTTCCCATTACCCTCCTTCTTCCTTGCCCTTGTTCACCTTTCCTTTCTACTACATAGCCTTTCTGCTATTTACTTAGCAGAAAGTTAAAAAAGTTTTTTTTTTTTTAAATTAGTGTCTTATGGACATACATAATGATGAGATTGCTGTAATATGTTCACATATATGCATATGAAAGGTAAGTGAGATCCAATGCATTGTTTTCCCCTTATTCCATCCCTTCTCCCTCCCTCTCAATCCCCTTCTTCTATTGTACTGATTTTTTTTCTATTTTGTTGGAAACACCCCAGCCCCTATTTCTTTCTTTCTTTTTTTCTGTGTGTCAGAGGAAACCTTTGACTTTATGGGTCTGGCTGATTTCACTTAGCATGATGGTCTCCAATTCTATCCATTTACTTGCAACTGGAATAATTTCATTCTTCTTTATGACTGAGTAATATTCCATTATATATGTATGTACCACATTTTCTTTATCCATTCATCTGTTGAAGGGCACCTATGTTGGTTCCATAGTCTTTGTGAATTGTGCTTCTATAAACATTGATGTGGCTGTGCCTATAGTATGCTGATTTGAAATCTTTTGGGTGTATACTAAGGAGTGGAATAGCTGGGTTATATGGAGGTTCCAATCATAGTTTTTTGAGGAATCTTCTTACTGCCTTCCATATTGTTTTTTTTAATTCTTAATTTTATTGATTTTAGCTCTGATTTTAATATTTTCCCGTTTTCTGCTGATTTTTGTGTTAGTTTGTTTTTCTTTTTTCTAGGAATTTGAGGTGTATTATTTCTTTGGTATCTTTCTATTTTTTTAATGTGTGAAGTCAGTGCTGTAAACTTTTCTCTTAGACTTGCTTTCATACTGTCCTAGAAATTAAAAATAAATTTAATTGTAGGTGGACACAATGCCTTTTTATAATATTTATTTATTTTTATGTGGTGCTGAGGATCAAAGTCAGTGCCTTACACGTGCTGGGTAAGCACTGTACCACAGAAATACAACCCCCAACCCTGTTCCAGAAGTTTTTGTATGTTGTATTAGTATTATCATTTGTTTCTAAGAATTTTTAAATTTATTCCCTGATTTCTTCTGCTATCAATTCATCACTCAAAACTATATTATTTTATCTCCAGGTGTTAGAACTTTTTTTTTTGGTGTGTGTGTATCTGTGTGTGTGTGTGTAGTGCTGGGGATTGAACCCAGAGACTTGTGCATGTGAAGCAAGCACTCTACCAATTGAGCGATATCCCCAGCCCTTAGAGTAGTTTTTGTTTTTTATCTTGTTAATTTCTGATTTCATTCCATTATGACCTGATAGGATACAAGGAATTCTGTTTTTTAAAATATTTGCTAAGATTTGCTTTGGTATGTTTTAGAAAATGGTATATTTTAGAAAATGTTCTGTATGCTGCTGAGAAGAAAGTGAATTCAGTTGTTGATGGATGAAATGTTCTGTAGATGTCTGTTAGGTCCATTTGGTGAATATTATTTTTTAGTTCAGAAGAATCTTAGTTTTTATGTGGATAATTCATTTAGTGGTAAGAGGAGAGCTGTGTTGAAACCACTCAGTTATTATTGTATAGTGGTCTATTTGATTTTTAAATTGAGAAGGGTTTATGTATGTGGGTACACCATTGTTTGGAGACAGATATTTACAATCATTATTTCTTTTTAAAAATATTTTTCTTTTTTTAATTTTTAGTTATACATGACAGTAGACTGTTCTTTGGCAGAATATACACGCATAAAGTATAATTTATTCTATTTAGGTTCCCACTCTTGTGGTTGTACATGATGCAGAGTTACTCTGATCGTGTATACAAATTCAGGGCTCTTTAGTTGACTATTCTTCTAGTGCAGTTCATTCATATGATGGTTTTCACTTTTATTTTCCATTTCTTCTTCATGAAATATTTCATTGAGTATGTTTTTTAGTGCAAACTTTGTGAATTTGTTCAATTTCTGCTTATCATGGAAAGTTTTAATTTTCAATTTTGAAGAATAATTTTTCTGGGCATAGTCCTCATGGTTGGCACCCATTTTCTTTCAGAGTGTGGCATATATTATTCCAAGCCTTCCTGGCTTTTAGGGTCTGGGTTAAGATATCAGTTGAAATTTGCATTTGTTTACCTCTGAATATGACTGGCCATTTTTCTCTTGCAGCTTTTAAAAGTCTGCATATTAGGCATTTTCATTATAATGTGTCTTGGAGAAGAAAATGTATTCTAATTTTTCTATTTGGAGTTCTGTGTGCCTCTTGTTGAATTTCCATCTCGTTCCTATGATTTGGAAAATTTTCTAATTTTGTTTTATTGCAAAGATTGTATATCCTTTTAGTTTGTATTTTGGAACTTTCATCTACCCTGATAATTCTTTTTTTAATATTTATTTTTTAGGTGTAGATGGACACAACACAATATCTTTATTTTTTAATGTGCTGAGGATTGAACCTGGGCCCTGCCCCTGCTAGGCGAGCTTTCTACCGCTGAGCCACAATCCCAGCCCTGCCCTGATAATTCTTAAATTTTGTGTCTTGATATTATCCAAGATTTCTTGAATATTCTGGTCATGATCTCTTAATATTTTTTCTTTATGTTTAACTTTATTTTTAAGATTATATACTTTGTCTTCAAGGCCTGAAACTCTGTCTTCACAGTGGTCTAATCTATCTAATGATGCTTTCCATTGAATTTTTAATTTGGTTTATTGAGTCTTTCCAGAATTTCTATTTGATTCTTTTTCAGGATATCTTTATGTATTTATTGAGGTGGTTTTTCACTTCCTTTATTTTATCTCTAATTTCACTCCTTCTTTTTTCCTGTAGCTCATTGAAATTTCTAAGTTCTTTCTCTGACATTTCTTTCACTGTGGTGTTAATGGAGTCAGTTGTTGCAGTGTTGTGGGCTGTTTGGCGTAGTTTGTTCTCTGGCTTGTAAAAACAGGAATGCTTAACTTTTTCTTTTTTCCATTGGTATGATTTAAATTACATTCTGTATATGTCAGTCTAAGGACTTAAGTTGCCTTTATTTTCTTTGATATTAACATTTAAAAAAATTGTAAATTTGATCTAATTAGTTTTACATGACAGTAGAATGCATTTTGACACATTGTACACATATGGAGCACTATTTTTCATTCTTCTGGCTAAACACAGCGCAGAGTCACACCAGCAGTGTAATCAAACATGTATACAGGGTGATAATGTTTGTTTGTCTCAATCTACCATCCTTCCCATCCCCATAGCCCCACCCCTCCTTTCACTCTCCTCCTCACAATTCAAAGTTCCTTCATTCTTTCCTACCCCCCCCTCCCCGCTCCCAATATGGATCAGCATCTGCTGATCCGAGGAAACATTT